CCTAGGCTTCATGTGAATGATACGGAGAGAGGAGGGCCAAGGGCACCTCCAAGGAATAAAATGGCTCTCTATGAGCAGCTTAGTATCCCTTCCCAAAGGTTCAACTCTGGATCACTACCCATGTTGCCTCTTCCCCCAAATAGTAACAGCAGCTTGGTTCCTTCAATATCATCAAGCCATGTAAGTTTGCTAATTTTAATGATTTCCTAAAGTCATAAGATGGAATTGAATCCTTGAAATTACCTTGTTTGAATGGTCTCAAGCAATATGCGCAGTATTTGTTTGATGCCTTGAGAATTTTGTTTTGTTTCTCTATCTGTTGTATTTGATGCGATTTGATTTAAGGCTTGGCATCTACTACTGCCAGCTTAATTATCTGGTCCCTTTTTATGGATTTATTTGTGTCTTTCCTGAAAATTTGCTAGGTGGGTCACCCAATTGTTCTAGATTCAATCAAATTCTTCTTTCAGTGTCATAGTCTCTTCCATTGTTTTCAAGCTTCTCTACCCTTTGAATGTTCAGTTTGTAGAACAAAATCTGTGTGAGGTTCTGAGTGATGCGTGATGTAATTTTTTTTCTATTTTATCTTGTGTGACAAGAAATTATTCATATTTGTAGGGTGGTGGCAATGGAAGGAGTATGTTTATGCCATTCGGCAACTCGCCCGAATCTTCAATTTTGGCTGAGAAGTTTCATTCTTATTCCATCCCTGGGATTAAACTAAATACCATGAAAGGAAATCAGGAAAGAAAATCCACAAAAGCTACAGATTACCAGAGTTTGGATACCACACCATCAATCCCAGCAATTTCTAAATTCAATCCATTGCAACCACTCCATTTCTCTAACTTTAAGAAATTTTCTTTAAGTAAGCTAGGACACGATGATGACCTTAGGGTTCGTACATCTGTTCTGTCTGGAAGAGATCTAGATTGCAATCGCAGTAAGCGGAGTGGAGACCAGGAAAATTTTTCTAAATTGAACTTGAACTCTTCAATGCAACTTCAAACTGCTAATGAAAAGCAGATGAAGGAAAACGATTCTGTAGATCAAAAGTCGAGAAGATATTTTGGGAACAAAGCTGAGGAGAATGGAAGATTATCTCCAAGTAGTCAAGACCTCACGGAAAGGTCTAATTCAATTCAGTCAACCAGGGATAAAATCCTGGCAGACACATCATCTGACCTGCCAACCAAAATCAAGAATTCAGAATCATTAAAACGACCACATGCCTTCTTGAACCAAGAACATAAAAGCAGCTCAGTAAATATGGTGAACAGTGTAGATAGTCCAAATGCACGGTTGCTTCAAGAGTGTGTGGCTACGCAAGACAAAATGATCTTCAGGGAAAATATTTTGGTGGAATCTGGCACAAGCCGGGAAAATACTTCCAAGGTGAGAAATGAGTCTTGTTTGAGACAATCACTTGGTGTTGATAATGGAAGTCCAAATGTGCTTGAAAACACAAGTAAAGCCCATGAAGAAAAGAAATGTGCGGCTATGGAAGTTGGGGGTGTTGGCTGGCATAATAATGTCCCAGATGCTGCCACGGTGGAGTCCATATCTCATTTGGATATATGCCCTGATGATGTCGTGGGAATAATAGGTGAAAAACAATTCTGGAAAGTAAGAAGAGCTATTGTCAAGTAAGTATCCCTCTTTTGTTGTTGCTATGTGCATCTGCTGCAGCTAATGAACATCATAAGTATGTGGTCTACTGACTTTTGTTTATCCAAGCTGCATTTTTATACCAATATCTAATTTAAGATTTTGGCTTTGCTTCATAGTCATTATTGTTGTAACCATATTGAAGTCTTTTAGTTTAGATGTCTTTTTAATTAACAGTTTGAACTATCCCATTAATGGATTCACATTAGTTTATCATTTTACAAGTTGTAGAAATTGTCAAAATCAAAGCTGGTGTTATTATAATTCATCAATGTTGATGGCAACAGTGAAAGAGGGGATTGAGTTAGCAACGACACCAAATAATCAACTAATGACACCTCAGGGAACTGAGGTCAACTTGGTACAGCTTCTATAATTCAGCCAACTGCCTTTTTTAATGTGTGGGTGTGCGTTGGGGGTGGGGTGTTCTGGACATACTAGAATTCTTCTTACAGGCTATCTCCAGATTCCAAAGATTCATATATTAAAATTTCTGGTATACAGTTTAACACAATAAAGCTTGAAGGGCTAGCGTTTTTAGTTAGATTATAATCTGAAATACTTAAGCAATCAGGAAAATTGGGTAAAGGAAGAGAGAAGAAAAGTCAAGATTCCTAAGAAGCACGCAGGGTTGCTTAGGAATCACACTTAAAGATGATTGTATTACACAAACACAAGCAATAATCTGAAAGTTTTCTGATGTATATCAATTCCGTTGATAGGGAGGACATTGATTTAGATAGACTCTTAGTATCCCTAACAGAAATAAAATCCTATGTCCCTTGGGAACTAGCATGTGCTTGGACTCTTAGCAAACATTAAGAAAATAGAGAACAAACAAATGTGACTTGAAACTCAAGAGACAGGAAGTAAAATAAGAGCCATAAATCTGAGACTATAAAATAACTATGAAAGCCTGCTCAAGGTACCGAAGTGAACCATTTTAAGAAGATTGGTCTATTTTAAGTCACTTTCATTAGGTTTCTCTGTATCTCAATGCAGAATTAATAGCCCTTCCTGCACATCGGAGGCAAAACTCTCAGAGAAGTATGAAACTTTACAGTATGTGCATGCTGTTTTTCTGGTCACAAGAAATATAGTTATAAGTAATTGTTAACTAGGTGTATAACCTGCAGATACTCTTGGGATATATCTTTCTGTTAATGGTTTATGTATTGCCTTCTATGTCATTTCTTGTTATATCAATATACCTTCTGTGTCTTCTGCATGTAACCACTTAGTTGCTCTCACTATTAAATGTTTAATATAATGTGCTATTTGTGTCACTTCTAATTGTTCCAAAATGCACTCAGAGTTAAGTTTCTTGATAAGATACTAATTGTTATATCAATATTTTCAGCCAACAAAGAGTCTTTGCTGTGCAAGTCTTCGAGTTGCATAGACTAATAAAGGTAAATGACAAAGTGGTATTGACTTGCTAGCCATTTCAACAAATTATGTATGTAATCTCATTTTTTGGTTTCTTACCCATCTATCTTTGTAAAATGAATACTAAATTACCTTGCTCTGTTTTCTTTTAATGGATTGAACAGAAGGAAAGGAAATTTACTTTGCATTAATTTGGAACAGGTTCAGAGGTTGATTGCTGGGTCACCACATATGTTGCTTGAAGATACCTTTTTTATGGGCAAACCATCTTTAGATGTTTCTCCCATCAAGAAGTTGCCATCTAACTATGTTCTTGAACCGCCATTGATTGTTAAAGTCAAAGATAGTTCTCAAAAACCAAATATTAGGATCGAATGTGCAGATAAGAATGTAGTTGCAAAGCTTCCTCTTCCTTCTGCCAACGATGATACTAGCAAAGGACTTGTTACACTGCAACCTAAATATGGGCCTTATTTAGGAAATGCCTTGTCAACACCTATGGCTGCCAATACCAGGACAACTCCTTGGTGTTTCTCTCCATTTGGAAGTCAGTGGTTAGTTCCTGTAATGTCTCCTTCTGAAGGACTTGTTTACAAGCCCTACACAGGTCCTTGTCCTCCAACTGCAGGCTTTATGGCACCAGTTTATGGCAGCTGTGGTCCTGTGAACCTAGCTGCAGGAGGTGGGGACTTTCTGAACACAGCTAACAGTGTTCCAGCTTCTCACCAACAAGGAATTGGAATTCTTCCTGGAAATGCTCCTATAGGTCAGACCTGCTTTCCACATTATGGCATGCTAGTTATGAATCCATCTGTTTCTGGCTCAGCAGTTGAGCAGATGAGCATGTTTATTGGAGTCCAGTCAAAGGGCAATCAGTTGTCAACAGGTGATGTAAACTTCACCATAGCTCACAAGAGTTCATGCAACATCTCAAGTCAGATGAGTCGAGCAATCTCATATTGTGTTGGAAAATTGCCTGCATCAAAAGAAAGCGAAATACAGGGAAGCACAGGAAGTGGTCCCTCTGAAAGGGCTAAAGGGGATGCGCTTCCTCTTTTCCCTACGGAGCCTACAATTCAGGCATCTGATCACAATGCTCAGACTAGTGGGCAGCAAACACGGGTGATTAAGGTTGTACCACGTAACTCCAGATTAGCGACTGAATCAGCAGCTCGAATCTTCCAGTCTATACAAGAAGAAAGGAAAGAGTACGATTAGTTTTTGTATCTAATGAGACTTTGCGGCAAATGACTGTATTCTTAATACTTTGTCAAATATTTGATGTTTTGTACCTGTAATTCTTATATGTTAATAACATGTACATAGGCAACATAAGGTTGAAAAACAATCAACTTTTGCTCAATTGTAATCATGCTTGCTTCTATGTTTTATTTTCTACTGGCTTTTCTTTAAGAGCCATTTTTGCAGCAAATCTTAGCTGCGTCAGAAAACCATTACTGCACCAAAAGCCTTTAATTGGCAAGCATTGCAAGTCTACTTTGAATACAATTCTGGAAGAAAGATAATCAAAAGAAAAGTCTCACATGTCACTTGTGCTTTCTGGTTCTGGCAATGTTAGTGTTTCCTGCTTTAACAAATTCAGACTCAGAGTGCATTGAGGGCTGCAACTTGAACTCAGACCAAATGTTTCTTCATTGCCCAAGAACAGCTTCACTTACGATTATAAAAGGCCAACCACCTGGACTTGCGAGGTTAGGGACTACTGGTTATTGAAAAGAATGCCTAGAACTTGAACTTGTCATGGTATCTTAGCTTCACCCGCATTGCACTCCAAAGTAACATCCACTTAACCTTTGATTTATTACTTAAAATTATTGCATTGTTTATTCGGCTCTAAGGAAAATACCATACTATCATAAATTACCAGATCTTAGTTGTACAATTTGCAACTAAATATCAAATTTTGTTGCTTTGTAATGGCTCTACTGGCATTTATCAGAATATCCAGGGCCGCCAAAATAGAAATGGGTTCTAAAGTCGTTCTTGCTTGGTATATGTAAATCATAGCATGAAGGATTTGACACATATGGCACAAGATTTTCAGGATCTCTCACAGCTCCAGAATCATCAATGTACCCAAGATTTCGGAAAAAACTTGCTTTTCCAAAGTCTTCACTAGGAAAATGGCCACTCCCCATCTGAGTAGAGGTGTGGCGCCCTTCTAATTCTGAATTGACAATCTCTCCGCCCCAAGTTATAAAATCTGCCCTGTCAGACAACCCTGTGAAGATGGAGCCTGGCCAGTATCCCAAATCTACGTTCTGTATCCTCAACCACCAGTTTCCACTTTGCTTGTCCTGAAACATTTTCCTTGTGGTCATTTTATCTTGAAATATTCCAACCTAACTCGGGTTCATTTGTTACACGTCCCACATAAGAAAAAGAACCAAAATTCTATCAGCCTTGCATAAATATAACATGTTCTTTACCTTACGTATAGTTATGCTCATCTCATATTGCTCGCCCCCATAGGTGGAAACAGGTTCTAGATTTCCACCAAGGCCAAACTTGTTGTCGGTTTGCACAAATCCAGGACAATCAAGATTATAGCAACCGGTGCTTTGATAGTCATCGCTCTAACGTTCCACAAACAAACAACTTGAGACAACTTAGAGTGTAATGTAAATTACCAATATGAAGCATATGTTTGAAGGGATTTCTAATAAAATGTTCACTGTTGAGATATAGAAACAGAAGGGATCAAGCAAACTTACAGTCCAGTATATGAATAATTTTGTTCGTTTATCGACTTGGCTAACCTGCAATATGAATGTATCAGTTTACCAAGTTGTTATTTAAATCAAAACAAAGGATATGAAATTTTTCTTGACAGAAAACTTACGATCCATCCAGCCTCCATAGAGTTCAATTCATCCTGAGGGCCTGACAAAACCCAGATTTGTGCTAAGCTGAACTCGCTATCAAATGTCGCTGGATTCCATACGTTAAGCATTGCACTTGCTCCAAAATAGTTGCCATTAACCACAGAAACTTGAGCGTACTAAATCATATTTTCATCCATAGCAGAGAAAGAGCATCATATAAACCAAAACTTAGGCTATTTTTGCTTTTGTTTACAACTAAATGAAGGTATAAAGGAATGAGAAAATTTTGAAATGCTACCTCATGATTTCTGACAGCTGCACTTGCAACTTGGTCAAGGTTTTTTCTTCGAGGAACAAATGCCATAGTCCGAGTAGAGTTGTGTATTTGTGCTCTAACAATGGGGATTGTTCCCTCAGGGCATTGTCCATTCTTATGCCAACCTTGAAGCAGCTCTGATTCGAATTGTTCTGTTTCCATTCCTCTCGGATATGAACTTGGTTTCATCTGTAAAATCACAACAATCCTTAATTTGTTCACGTTAAATAAATAGATTTGAAGACAAAGGAGTAATTTACTCCCTTTATTATTCTTATTAGTTATTTTTTAAATATAAAGAAGAAGCCATGTTCGAGGATACATTATTCTGATATTATAAAAACCATATATATCATCTAAGTGCATACATGTATATGTTTTGTATGAGCTGTTCAAATCTCCTCAGGAATTCATTTATTTTAAGTGGGTATTTAAAGAAATTTCAAAACAAGTAAATAATGTGCCCCTGTAGCATGCATGCAATCATATTGGAGAAGACAGAGAGAAAATTGAATTGATAAGAACCTGTATGGTGTGATTCTTGAGAAGAGGATGATTAAAAGCAGGTTGTTTGTAGATATCAACACAGTCAATTACATCACCATCTTCACTCTGTCAACAAATCAACAAACCATTATCGTCCATGAGATTTAATTAAATAATAATTATATAAACCATAAAGAAAAGGGGAAAAAAAATCAAAAGTATATGACAACCTGTATTGTTTTTATTGCTCCTTCATGCTTAGCCAACTCCATGTTTCTAACCAAGGAGATGGACCTTCCATCAACTTGAACATGAACATGGCTAAACATGTGATAGAGAGCTACAAAGACAAATATGCAGTATCCAAGCTTGGTCTTTGTATGACTCCACGTATCCATCGAATTACAAAAAAAAAAAAGCTGAGAAGTTTTTCCGATCTTTGAGAAGGGAAATTTTGTCAGAAACAAATAAAAGATGACTGATGAATATTTATAGGATTAGAAACCAATATATATGGCATGCTTTGTTAATATGGAATCAAAATCTGTGATTTGTATGTGGGAAAAATAAATATAAATGCATTTAGGAGTGTATATGACAATCATCTTACCAAGAAGGAAAGATGCAGAATATGGTACAGATGGATTTTTTTCCAATTTTAGTAATATACATGTGTATCCAATTAAGGATCAGAAAGGAATGTTTTTCATCTTGCATAGACTTTTCCCCTCTTAATAATTGATGCCATTTGTGTTTTCTTATATGAATGAAGAGGAAATCTTTATCACTTATTATTTTAAACATTCCGATAAGTAAATTGATTCAAACATGTGTTTATGCAATTTAAGAAGTAGATTTACGTGTTATTATGACAAACTGAAAATATTTGATGATAAAATAATTGAAAACCGAGGTTTTAGTTTCGAAGAATTTAAGTATTGAATTTATGATATAAAAATCTTTTTGTTAGGTTACTGAAAATTGAGTGTTGAGTATATTTTTTATTGGATCTTTTGTAAAAGAGAAATGATTTTATAAATATTTTGTATTGGAAAAAGTTAAAAATGAGAGATTAAAAAGGATAGAATGTAAGATTCATGTAGTTAAATTACATATTTTTTCTTAGATAAAATTGACCTGATAACTTTTAGCTACTTAAGATTTTCAGTCCTTTTTCCATTGAATATATTCAATTAAATTATTTTTAAAAATAAATTATGAAAAAAATAAAGTTTTCAATAATTTATTAAGCAAAATTTGATTATTTCATATTCCCTTAATTGTTTCAAAATTAAAAAAAAAAACCCCACTATATTTAAAGGCAAAATGAAAATTAATTGACAAAGGACAATTATAACAAGGCAAAATAAAGAAAACCTCGCTAGACTTAGATATATTTAATTATCAATCTCATAGAGTTTTGCCAATTTATCAATTAAATTAATTATGTAATTTAGATATTTCATTTATTAAAACCTATTTATTTCCAATAAAAAAAATTAAAACCTACACAAATATTTAAAAAAGAAGATTTAAAAATAACCTACCCTCTATATATATATATATATATAAAAGATACATCCGGTGTTGATTATTATGTATATAAATTTCACAATATTTATAACTGGCTTACTTGAATTTCATAACATGTACAGCTTTCTTATTGTTTTTTTTTTTTGGATATGGTATATTTTAAAGCAAATAATTCGACAATAATAAAAATATGGATTGAAAAGAAATAGAAAACAAAAAAATGAATCATTAGAGGCAGTGTGGTTAATGAAAGGTTTTATCATAAAATAGAGAATCCCATGAATCGCAGGGGTGAAAAGCTGGCTTTCAAGAAAGCTCCAACTGGCAAACACATTCAATATGGGGAGTATGAGGGAACATGTCCACCGGCTGTATGCATTTTAACTTGTAACATCCTTTGATGTTTTGCTCTCTCTGCACCCAAGATTTTCAAACCATTCAGATGATAGATATTAGATTTTTTTTTCAACAATGCATGAGACAGAAATATCATACATACCACACCATGGCAAAGGTAGTCAAGGTCACGAGCACAGGTTGCAGGATTGCATGATACGTAAACTATTCTTGGAGCCTTTAGCTTTAGCAAAAATTTGATTAACTTCATGTGCATACCAGGTCTATTCGGATCTGCAAATCAAGCTGACAGAACTCAACCCTCAATAATTTCAGAATTTGAAGTTTAACAGTCAAGCATCACAAGTTTAACCTACAAGGTGAAACTATTCTTGGTGAAAAACTCAACCCAGAATTATTTACCCTTCCCACTAATGGTATAACCAAGCCTGTTGGGGCCAAAGAAGACAATAACACCCTTGGCACTAGCAATTTCCTCAGATAAGTCTATGTTCAAAGGATTTTGTATTACTTTTCTAAACAAGATGGCCTACAATATATTTCCCTGATTCCAACCCCAATTTTCCAATTCTCATATCTACACAGTGGTACTTCAACAATTATTTTTACAAGGAGGGGTAAAACTGCATATATAAGGTGTCTGGCAGGAAGATAACCTGAAATTACGATGTCTAGCTTTGGAAAATCCTTGCCAAAATTTTCACCAATTTTGTTAAGATCTCCTTGGACAAATGTAGCATTACTTATTCCGTTTAGCAAGGCATTTCTATGAGCATCTGCCACAGCTTGAGCAACTACTTCATATCCATAAACATGTCTAGCCCTGAAAAATAGAAAATAGTGATGGCAAAATTGTTTAAATGGCAGCTCTCTAAAAGTGAGATCATATCAATAGAACCCAAGGGAAATACTTTTTGGCAAGTGTTAGACCAATGGTTCCTGTTCCACAAAATAGATCAAGGACAACTTCAGAGGCATCTCCTCTCAGGCCAGCACAATCTTCAATTAGTTTATACAGGACCTCAGCCTAAACAGTGTAAAATCATTTCAGTTAATGCTATGAACAATAACCACGAAGCAAAACAGTGAAACCCCCAAGTAACAAAAAGAACAGCGAAAGACATATGACATTCATGATACATACCTGACGAGTATTCGTCTGGAAAAAAGAGTTTGCAGAAATTTGAAATGTTAGACCTCTCAAACTCTCCGTGATTGTAGATTTTCCATACAAAGTATATTCCTCCTCCCCAACGGACGTGTTACCAACAGAAGTATTTACATTATTCACAATGCTAACCTGGAAGTCAACAGGCAAACACACAGAATTACACATAATTTATCTTGTTACTAAAAAACGTGATAAGAATATGCTAAGAACCATGGTTTATCTAATGGAATCACTTTCAAAGAATATTATGACCACTTAAAAGATAAGTTTTAACGAAAATATCAAGGGGAAAGATGCAAGAGCATAAAAGATGTACAAATAAGAGTCACCGCATAAACAAAATATAGCAAAATGTAACAACAGTTAATTGCACATTGTAAATTCACAAAGTTAGTCATAACCAACACATACCACTTCAGGAATGGCTGAAATTTTCTCAACTAAGAGTTTCAGCAGCTCTGGCTTGTAAGATGAGGTGACAAAGTTAACCATAAGTTCAGGGAGACCGGTCTTCCTGTCCCTGGAACACAAATCATAATTTTGGAATATGAAGGGAACACACAACATAATTGATAACTAGAGATCCATGAACTCAGAGGAAACACATTTTGAAAACATTTTATTATTTTCTTATGATAAGTCAAACCTATTGGACTAACTATAATTGCATAAATAATACAAAGACTAAAAGTTGGTTGCTGAGTGCTAACTGTGCACATGTTAGAACGAACCATATAAGTAATGATAGTTCCTTGGGTCACCAATTTCTTTCTTAACCCACAAAATCACAAATCTCTCATTTTTGTAAGCAATTGAAAAACTTCTTCATTTAAAAACACATATAATCGCACCTGTTATGCAAATGAGAGGGGGTATACCATGCACATTTAACTTAACAAGTAAAATAAGTTTAGTCAACTAATAGTTTCCCGCAACCAATCCATTGATAATTGAAATATACTACTTTGCCAAGTTGGTCCATCAATATTTAATAGGACTTTAAAAAGACAAACTTCTGTTGGTATCTCACACTTTCCACCACTCAGTTTCTATTGAGTTTTTACTTTTCAAATCATTGTTTCTCTTCCTCCTATTACAGCCAGATAATCTAACAGACTATATTCTGCTTATTAGTGAAAAAGGGGTTCCCACACTGCAACTTGCAAGAAAATTCACTACTTTTTTTGCAATACTAGTGTCTTACATGTGTAACCATAAAATGAGAAACGCCACATGCTTAAATATGGAAAAGTAAGCAGTAGCATGTAAAAACTTTCCAAAAAAAAAAAGCACTAGCATACAAAACAATAAAATGAAAGTACCTTCCAGTTCTTAGAACTAGATGTTTAAGGAATCCAGCGTGAGTGTGAACATTGTATGGAGAAAGACCTCGTTCTGGATCTTTCCAATGGTCTTGGACAGTTGCTAGGATCTGCATATCTAAAATGCAAGTCAAGCGAGTATGAAATAGCTAAGTTCTATGATATAAATAACATCTAACAGTCAAGAAAAATTCAAACAAAATAGTGTCCATACCTTGCGACAAGTATATCTTACACAAAAACTAATGAAGATAGCCTATGCCTATTATGTGCCTTAAAGAATGTACAACCCTAAGTAATATGAGGAAAATAGAGTACATACCTTGTTGGCAGGCTCACTTTGTAATAAGCATTTGTCAACATTTAGTATCTTATCAAAAAGGCCCGGAGCATGCAGTCCTAGTGCATAGTTCTCATTATCATCTAGCTTCTGATGTAACAATTCCTTGGGTAACCATTTCTGAGAACCAAATGAGAATTCCATCTGCAGAAGCACGAAAGTAGCAGCTGAGAATGTATATAACAAAAAACACAAATTTATTTGAAAAGAAAAATGAATTGGACATTATTCTAAGGAGTAAAGAGACTGCGGCTAAGAAAGCAAATGCATATAAAGTTAGTCAATTAGCAGTGGATTATATGGTCAATACAATACATGCCATTGGTCTCTATGTTCTACTCCCCCTATAACCATGCTGAAATACAATAAAAGATCCGAATTTTATTGGTTCTACTCATAACATTTACATCATAATTTCATGATTAAATAATAATGCAAGTGTTCTCATTGTTGTCTACCTCATTCTTAGTTGTGAGTGAAACAAGCAATTATTTTGTCGAAATGCAGTTAAACACATCAAACTATTTAATTGAACCTTAAAAAATATTAAATTAAATCAAACAAAGAGCATGTGGTGCTTCCATATCCAAAAACTATAAGATACTTCAAAATTGATCCCTTGTGACAGAGGTCCCCATAAGAATCAGAGGATTGAATTCACAGCAAATGCAGAGCTCACAAACTGCTGTACAACGTACTTTTAAGTAGCTAAGTAAAGGGAAAAATATTGCAGTTTGAGCATATAATCAGTCTAAACCTTACTAAGGTCTATATTCCACACCTACCTTATTTCGATAATGAAATTGTATATCACAGGGAACAATGGGCTTCATAATACTTGAGAAATCAGGGCTTTTATCTGAAAACTTTCCAACATTGATGAGCAGCTCCCGTACTTGTTGCTCCTTAGCTCTGACCTGAGCCTCATAAGACAGATTTTGTGTTTTACAACCTCCACAGTATGATGCATACTCACAAGGGGCATCTACAAGGTCCCAGTGAGGATATATTGTCTCCAACTTGGTCACCTGTACATTTAACAAAAGAAAACATTATATTGTTGTTGAATATTCAACTCCCCTAGTACTGAATATTTGAACCCATACCATTGATTTCAGCAAAATATTTCCTAGCTGTATTACTGAAATGCCTTTCACATATCATAAATCATTTTAGAGGGAAACTACAAGCAGATTGCGCGAACAATGTGTTGACGCTTCAAATTAGATAAGAGAATTTGTGAACTATTATCACCAACTACGACTCTGTCCAAGATATAAACTCCAATCTGAAATTTATAGCTGAAAAAGAACACAACTTGATTTGTTTCGAAGGTTCATCAGTTTACTCTCATCATCAGCACATGAAACTGTCTTCCAAGATCATAAACTCAAACAATTGTACCACAAATAAGATAAAATGCTGCTTTTACATTAGGCCACCATTTTTCCAGCGATAATTAAATCATCCAACTTTGATGAAGTGAAATGTCAAAGAGCCAAGGCAATAAATATAGGGGTCAAGGTGTTAACCCCCAACTTCCATCCTCTAATATTGATACTCAAAGTATTTAGCAACAGGGATTAAATTGAATAAAAGAAAAGAAAAAAAATTAATAAACCAAATTATAAAATTGTCTTCTTTTTTCTTCCCTTTCCTTCATTTAATAGACACCCAACAACTATACAAACCAAATACATAAAATGAAAAAAAATCAACAAACAGATGTAAGAACCAAATGAACAAAACCCAAAATTCAAATTTAAACAAACAAATTAAAAGGACAGAGAATAAAAGGTTGGTTCCTTTGGTGGGCATACGTGTCATTTACCTCAGCATAACTTCCTTTCTTACGAGTAACACGGCCGATGAAACGTTCACCAGGGAGTGCACGGTCACACAATAAAACAAACCCAGAATCTGCCACCTTGCAAACACCTTTGCCTTTAAAAGCCAAGCTCTCACATTCAAGCTCCAGGACTTGGTTTTTCTTTGGGAAGAATGCTTGTGAATTGCGGTTGTTGGTTCCTTTGGTGTCGGCATTGTCGTTGATGTAGTTGTCAGGACTGGAAAACACAAGAGAGGCCGTGCAGCGGATTTTGCGGAGCCATGGTCTAGTGACGGTGAGGTGTCTTAAGGCAGGGCTTGGGATGGTGGCCATTTTAGGGGTTTGGGGTTTACGAGGGAGGGAAAAGTGATATGGGAGCTGTTGAGATATGTATATATATATATATATGTATATATATGTATGTATGTGTATATATATATATATGTATATGTATGTATGTATGGTAGTTTACACGCCTAGAAAAGATGTGGCAAAAAGGGATTTTTCCTTATTTTCTTATTCAATTTTACAAAGAAACAAGGTATATTTCTTTTTATTTTTTTAAAAAGAGAGAAATAAGATAAATTACTCTAGTAAATAAAGATTCAATTTATTATGAGTTTTAACAATTAATTTCCAACTTGAAATTGTTGACCCAATTTTACTCACTAATTTTTAGAATTTATCACTTTTTTAAAAGGTTGCTTTAGTATAATCAAATAAGAATTCAATTGTACCTAACAAAAAACTACTAGTAACAATATTCACAAAAATTTCACACTCTCAAATCACATAATCGATATAAATTTAGATGTAAATAAATATATAAAAAATAAGTATATATAATTATATATATATATAAACAAACACATACAAATAAATTTATATATATTTTATGTCTCGTTAAACAAGCTTCAAAATAAAATTATAATTCATTTTTAAGCTTCCTTTAATAAATAAGCTAAAATTAATTAAAATTTCAAGCAATTTTATTTGTTTGCAATCTTATAAATAGACTTTCTTATAACTTTCTATTTTAAACACTTGAACTAAAAAATTTTAAATTAATGTTTGATATTTTATAATGTAATGTAATTATAAAAAAAATAATATTATAATATTTAATATATAAATAAAATAATAATTAAAATATAAAAAAATAACATTATTGTATTTAATTTACAAACATTGTATTCGGCTCAATTTAAAACAATTGGACTGCATTGGATTCTGTTTAAGTGGATTCTATGATATGGAAAAAGCCCAGCCCAATTTGTATCACAGGCACCCTTATTTTAAGACGGGTCAAGAAACCGGGTTCAATTTTTGTTCTTTTATAAACACCCGGATTCCAGATCAAAAACCCTAAACCTAAATTCCTCCCAAAAGTCTCCATCCTCGCTCACCCCTGTGACTAGAGAAGCAACCACATTCGCAAATGGGTAAGCCCTTAACTTCAGATACAATTTTCGCGCCAGTTTTTTTTTTTATTTCTTTTGATTTTAATTTTGTTTGGTATGTAACGGTGATTGGCGTGCAGGTAAGGTTCACGGATCATTGGCACGTGCCGGGAAGGTGAGAGGGCAGACCCCAAAGGTGGCCAAACAAGACAAGAAGAAGAAGCCTAGGGGTCGCGCCTATAAGCGGATGCAGTACAATCGCCGTTTCGTCACCGCCGGTTAGCTATCTCACTTTCTTGTTTATCTTTGACTGTTTTATATATTGCTACTTGAAGACAATATCGAATTGAAGTAAAAAGAAAATAGTTAATTAATGATTTCATTTCCCTTTTCTTATATTTGGTTTTGAGAGTGAAGACAATTTAATTATTTCTATTCTGTTATACTAAGTGGTCATTAGAAGGATGGAATCGTGTTGTCAACTGGCTTTGAACTCTTTTTTTTTCACAATTTCGGTGTTAATATATAAGGTTTTTAAACCAAATGCAATGTCGCTTTTGATGTATCAGTTTGAATTTGTGGATCCATTATCTTCATTGGCTATCCTTCAGTGCTCAGAAAGTCCGGTTCCATTAATACCTCAGCTTTTCCATTGTAGCTAAGCTTGCTATAAACCATTTGAATGATATGGTTCTGCTGATTGTGCTGTTTTCTTGGGTCAATGATTAGTCTAGTTCTTGTTTGTCCATCGAACTTATTTCCTTTTCCTGTAGTAAGATTAAGTGCTAATTAGCCTTCAGTATTTGTTATTTACCCAACCTATACTTGAGGATAAAAACTTATCTTGGGTAGAGCGGATTTGGTGCCTTGACTTTGTTATTTTGACTAGGAATTGTCAGGTCTATGTGCAGCATACCCTACATGGTTTTTTTTATTTATTTATCTACTTCACTTCTTTTGAGAATTGCATGTTAGAAGAAGGCGAACTCTTTTTGTTCATCTTTTATTTTTGCATATATTGAGCAACATGATGGACTGTGTGTTGGTTTGCTGTATGCAGTTGTTGGCTTTGGGAAGAAGCGTGGACCCAACTCTTCAGAGAAGTGAGGTTGGACTTGTTGGAGTCCTGCATTGTAGGATGTGTGAGAGTTTGATGGGAACATTATTTTGAAATTTTTATAGCTTCATTAGCATTATATTGTTCTGACTTAATTTGAAGCCTTTTTTTGGTTAAGGAAACTGAATACTGCTATTTGTTGATTTCAAATATTACCTAGAGCCTTGATTTCCCTTCCTTTATGTTCTTTTATTTAACGTGTTAATGAGTTTTTTGCTACTGAGCTTGGACAGGGTCAATATGAGGGTCTCTGAATATCAGTAAGCGATTTGGAATTTTAAAGTGGAAAAATTGTGATGGTTAAATTGGTTGTAACTGTTAATGGATGTAGTTGGACTTCTAAAACCTACTAGTCAGTCAAATTTGGTATTGTCTCCGAAAGGGTTAAAAGATCAGTGTATGGGTGGTTATATGCTTTTTAACAGGCAGCACCATTAAGGTCGCTGTAGAAAGTCTTCAATTTCTAATATTTCCTTTTGATCATCAGGGATGATCAGGATTTAATATTAGAGGGATGATGGGATATAAGCATATATGATGGATTTGAATGCAAGCATGCTGGCAACTTGAATTGCAAGAAAAGGACTTGGTATAACCCAAAATAAGATCGTTCTTACTCCGGCGACGGGGTTATGCTGGGTTTGCTTGGAACTCGCTGGGGTGGGCGTCCCTTCTCCTGGTTCCCTGGGGTAAAGTAAAGCCCCCGGAATACAAAAGCTTAGCCCAAGTTGTATGCACATACTGGGCCTCTCTTAACTCGCGGTGTACGCAAAGTTAGGCCGTAGTGCAGCAACGTGCAGTCTATAGTCTAATTCCCCATCTTTCTGGGCTGTCATTCATTTATTCTCTGGAAGTCTCTGGAATCCGAATCATTCCAAGCTTTAAAAAGTTCAAAATTTACTTCCTTGTTAATCAATCAGTCTCACTCTCATTATTGACAAGTCTTCATGTCGTATTGCAAGTGTGTTGTGTTGGTCCAATGAGAGTTAATTTAACATTTGCATACTTTATGAACCCTGCTCTTCTTCATCCCCTATAAAGTGGCACCTACTCAAATTTTTTTTTTAAATGGCAACATTTATCTCTTGTAAAGGTCCATCTTAAATCAAAATTCCATTCATGAAAATCTAGTCAGAAAAATCAGTTGAGATTGAGCAAAACAATAGGGGCCAGAACTTGAGACTAACCAGGAGTTCCTATTCCATCTTCTATGCACAATCCCCTTTTGATAAAGAAAGTACCAAAGTCTCGAGCTGATATGGCAGCCTAAGCTGCAAACCATAGACAATCTCAGTTCTAAACTCAAAGCAACAGGCAAAAATTCTACTTGTCATCAATTCCGAGGTTTCTCCATCCCCAAATATCGTTTCTCTGTGTCTCTCTTTTTGTCTTTTGCTGTTTACTCTAACAGTCTCAACTTTCAACTTGTTAAAAGAAAAAACAAAAACCCCATAAACCTCGCTTTCCCTCTCTGTAGTAATTGCTGACATTCATTAAAAGCTGGCGGAATTCAATAGTACAAGGCAAACTGCGAACTGATCCATCTTGTTATTTAAAACGTTTCACCTAGTAAATTCAACCATGTATATATAACTCATAAAAAAAAAAGAAGAGAAAGAAAGAAAACACCCCAAACATATGGTAACAACAATTCTTTCCTTTCTTTCCTATTTCTAAATCTCCGCATCATCATTTTAACATGTAGTGTTTATTTTCTCCGAGATCACCGGAAGAAAGGTCATTTGATTCCTTCGAAGTTTTCTGCCACTCTTCGCATACTTGATTTCCTTCTTGTTTTACAAGTCCACAGTTGGCAAAAAGCGATTCACTTGGCATCTTTGTATGAGTGAGGATGATCTTATTCGATTAAACCTTCCTATTCTCTTTGCTATATCAGAAGCGTTTTAAAGTTTTGGCTTTGTCATCTGCGGGAAAGGCTTTGATCCTAAAAGGGTGCTTTTAGAGGAAATACAAATTCAGCGACCTGTTTTCTTTCATTTTAATTGAGGGTTGAAGTTATGATGCAGTCAAGGGTGGTGGCGGTGGAGGAAGGTAAGGACCTGGCTTCTGCTATCAGAACGAACCTTTCCAGGGCCTTGCCTTTGAGACTCCTTCTATTTTGTTTGTCGTTTTTGGCCCTGGGCATTGGATTATCCATCATGAGTATGTATTCTGTACGATTTTTTCTAGTCCAGCATATAGCTGATGTAGCACCATCTACCAGTCAGCCTTTGTTTCAAGAGGCTAATAGCATAGAAAGTTGGATTAGGCCCCCATCAAACTTGTTGCATACTATGAATGACACAGAACTATTCTGGAGAGCTTCATATGTTCCTCAAATCAAGGAATATCCTTTTAGGAGAGTCCCCAAGATTGCCTTCATGTTCTTGACCAAGGGGCCACTGCCACTGGCTCCTCTTTGGGACAGATTCTTCAAGGGGCACGAAGGGCGGTTCTCCATATATGTCCATGCACTGCCATCTTATGTTGCTGGCTATCCATCATCATCCGCTTTTTACAGGAGACAAATCCCAAGTCAGGTATTAACGAACCCATCATTTTTGCACATATGTTGTGGGATGATTTTTTTTTTCTTTTTTTGGTTACATATGGGAGACTTTTCCAGCATAAAATTCTTGAGCTCATATTTGTTGACATTTATATAAGTGATGCTTACTTGGTTCATACTCCGATATGATGTCTATGTTTATCCTTTTTAGTTTATCAAGAAATCATGTTATGTATGAGTTAGTTTTACAGAGTTCTAAAGGAGTCTATATATTATGGAGTCACAATCTTCAAAAAAAATATATTATGGAGTCATGTAGTATACTGATAGTGGCAAGAAAAACAGAGTTTGTTCTCCAATTGAAAGCTTAAAAAAAGTAATTGTTCCTTTGTCCTGCCATCTCTTTCCTGTTTGCCGTTACTGCGTTTTGCAGTGCACTTAGTGGAGCTAGCAGCGCTTAAAGCTAGTTCTGTTATTTCCACATTATGTGACATGATGTTGATTATAAAACATACTTCTCTGACATGTATGCAAATCTCTAACTTAAAGGAAGCAGTTTAACTATTTTGGGACGGATGGTGATCGGTTTTTCATCTTGACTGATAGTTGATCAATTTCTTTTGGTTCTATTCAAAAGGTAAACTTTTGTCTACTTTGTCCCACAACTATACAAAATATATACAGTCATGGCTAACATAAGTAGCTTACATTTATAAGCCCTATCATTTACCAAGTTCCTAGTCTATTTCAAACATCCTACTTTCTTATATCCTTAGCTTTAATTATTTTGACCGCTTAAAAGTGATTGCTACAAAAGAAAGCTGTTCGAGGTACCATGATGTAGTAGACATTTTCTTAAATATAAGTTTGATGTGGCATTCAGGTAAACTTTCTCACTAACTCCATATGCTTAGAAGCTGCTGGATTCTTGACGTGTTCCTTAATTTCTATTTTGGAAATTTCATTAAATCAATGGGCTTTCCATTACTATTAGATGAATGAAATTGCTACTTGTAACCTTTTTCTATGACATGTGTTATCTGGAAAGAGTTGTAGCATTCTTTAGATCATTTCACATAGTTGGGGCTTTGGATTGTGCTTGTCCTCCATTGTCCTGATAGAATATCGGTATCACAGAATAGAACACGATGCAATTCCTTTTAGAACCTTCACTAGGTTGCCTCTTAACTTCTGACCATAGGTACAGGGTGGGCACCTATTTCTTTATCTTAAGGGTGAATAAATCTTCCAAACCACTTTTGGTATGTATAACTCTTGGTACTGGAAACTAAATGGGTACTTTTTGTGGATGACTAAGGATGATTTCTTTGTTATTTGTTATCATGTTGTACTACTTAGATTTCTTTTTCCAATAATTTTATTTTCCCTAGATTTTCATTTTTAGTTCTATGCTATTTGTACAGTCATTGCATGGTTCAAGTAGAGCGGTTTGACTTGCATACTTGGCAGGCAAGGTACGACTTGCTAATTGTTATATTATAGTTAAGCTTGAGGGAGATGACTGAAGTTAAAATACTCATTTTTGTGATCAGTTAGTAGTAGTTACATTACCAGGTTAAAAGATGCAGAGTATCAGTTTCGATGGTTCAGCAAAGATGTTGCTGATTGTATTAATGAAAATTAACATGGTTTAATTGATGATTATGACATGGCTGAGGTGGAATGACAAACAAAAATTTAGGTTGAGACTCTTCGAGGAATCAAGGGGGAAGTAGTGGCCTGTGCGATTCAAGTAGGATGTCAAATCATGAAAAATACCCTTCATGAGAAATGCACTTGTCATAGAGGATATGTTTCCAGTCTATGCTTTACTCAATTGGTGGACCTGTCGTTTAAGTATCCCTTTTTTTATGCTTTGTACTATCAGTTCAGTTGCTTCTTTTTGACCACTGCCAACATTCTTGTATGATATTTTCCTTTTTGTGTTTGAAATTGTATATTTTTCCATTATTTTATTTTTAAAACTTGCATCTGCATAACTTGATCTGCTTTCCAATGCATTTTCAAACATCTAACAAATTAAAAGAGTAAGGAAATTCTATAGGCAAGTGGTTCTTTGAAGATGCTTGTTTTAATTATATGTTTTTTTTTTATTCTTTGCAGATGGTGGAGTGGGGAAAGATGAGTATGTGCGAGGCTGAGAGGAGACTCATTGCTAATGCATTGCTCGATATCTCTAATGAATGGTTTATTCTCTTGTCTGAGTCATGCATTCCTCTGCACAATTTCAGCATAATTTATCGCTACATATCAAGATCAAGGTACAGCTTTATGGGTTCATTCGATGAAGCTGGACCTTATGGCAGAGGTCGATACAATCCACGCATGGAGCCGGAGGTCACACTCAGCCAGTGGCGGAAAGGGTCTCAATGGTTTGAAGTTAACAGGAGGCTTGCGATTGCTATAATTGAGGACACCACATATTACCCCAAGTTTAAGGAGTTTTGCCGGCCAGCTTGTTATGTGGATGAGCATTACTTCCCCACCATGCTGAGCATCGAATTCCCTCATCTCTTGGCAAACAGAACTCTCACATGGACAGACTGGTCGAGGGGTGGGGCTCACCCAGCCACATTTGGGAAGGCCGACATAACAGAAGGTTTGTTTAAGAAAATTTTTGAAGGTCAGTTATGCCTCTATAATAACCAGCCATCTTCGGTTTGCTATCTATTTGCAAGGAAGTTTGCTCCAAGTGCTTTGGATCCTTTATTAGGATTAGCATCCAAAGTTTTAGGGTATTGACTAGGGTTACTTGCCCAGAGGATAGTTGGAGCCCTAATCGATGCAAAGTGAGTTTAGTTAAAGGGCTAACCCATTTTTACCCTGAGTTCACAATCCAGTCTTTTGAAACACGCTTGTCCGAAGCAGTTCGGATGTGTATGTAGGATATTAGATCCTGAATTAAAGCTTCTTATGGTGTTAGTGTCAGGCCAGTGTAGCATAGTCAGCAGCGCCACCATTAGAGCTGTGCCTACTTTCTGTCTAGCTCTACTGGTGCTGTGAGAATCTTCCGAATGCTGACAGGGTTGCCACATATGTGCGTACATATGGCAACTTAGGTGTAAATATTGCCCAAGAGCATCCCTACAGTAGCCCAAATTGCCTGGCAGTCACTCTCTTCACTGGAAAATCTCTTCCAAAAATTCCAAGTAACACTTGGTTTTAATTAAGGCAAGGAGAATGTAACAATCACATATACAAAGGAAAACTTCCTAAACTAAAATAAAAAAAATCAAGAATTACAAATGAATTTAGGTTATTTACCTAATATAATTCATTAAAACAAGATTTTCCTTCATCAAAAGTTAACTAAAGCAATATCATGAAAATATACATAATCTCCTTTCATGTTCCGATGACATAAAAAATAGCATCAAATAGACAAGGTTGAGATGGACGTTTTTCTGCCAATCTTGGTACTTGTCCACCTCAATCCCATACTTTTTCCCTGTTAAGAATGAGTGTCAAACAATATTATATTAATTTTAACAACTAACAAAATCTGATTTTCTTGATCTTTCCAACAACCAAAGAGCAACCGTATAATAACGACCCGACGTTAAAGAAAAAGAAGGAAAAAAAAAGACTCAGATTTCTAGACTGGAACAAGCTTAAAACTTACAGTCCATAAAAGTGGAATTAATCCAAGGGGAATCAACAGGCTGAATGCTTTGGCATCACAGGTTCAGTATGTACTTCCTGTAGCATCAAATATCTCTCAGCGGCATCCAAGCATAAACTTAGCCTAGTAAAACTTCAAATTACCGGAGGAATGATAAATAAACATGGAAGCATCATGGTGAAAGAGGCACAAAAAAGAGTTTCCATGGAGAGAGGCAGGGAGCAAAGGAGATTCAAAGACCTTTACTCATTTTCCTCACTCTACATTGTCAAGAGAAAGCAAGAAGAAATGCCTTTTCTAAATTTACTCCACAGTTTTATCATTTAAAATTTCCTTCACTTTTTAACTACATGAACGAAACAGGGCTACAAGGAAACAAAAATATCTTTAGTCATTCTCGAGTCATATGTTTAGGACCCCTACAATCCTTCAAGCATAGTAAAACTATTCTGAATGCAATCCCTTAATAAGCAAATGACAGACAGATCATTAGGATAAAATTTGCCAGCTTCAAGGAAAAGAAACACGTGACAGTCATCTTCACATGGCAAACAATCGGGAAATAAAGATGCAAACCAAAATAGATTCTTCTCTTCTGGGAATCGTATTCCATTTGAGCTCACTTCAGTCAAAGATAAGAGATAGTTTCATCCTTGTAATCTTGCACCTATTGCAACAAGTCAGTAAATATGACTTAAAAACTAAATGTTCTGAGTCTCAAAACTGATCAACCAGCCCACATTTTCCTGATGGTCGACTAGTGAATGACTAACATAGCATAGTTTTTCAGACAAGTCTTTCGCTCAATTACATGAAAATAATTTCTGGTGAAAAAATTGGTTTCTAACTCAGAAAAATGTTACTTTCTAAAAGAAGATTGTCAGTCGCCTCTGAAGGCACTTGAAAGACTAACTATGCTAAACAATCAGGATATTTTCAAACAATTGTATAATCTTTCAACGACAACTGAAATGTGATTGTATCAGACATAAACCTAGCTATCTAATATCATATATACTATGAAGTCACATATATTGGAGAGAAAGTACAAGTAATAATAAAAGAACCATACCCGTTCAATAGTTGAAACATGGAATGTATCCTGAACCCAGAAAAGAAGTTCAATGGCCATTTCTTCGCACATAAACACCATCAACTCTGATGTCACGAATGTGAGAGATGTTAGGCCACTCCTTTCTGCAATATTCTGAAAGAATAGGACACCAAGTAATGCTTAGCTCCTTTAGGCTTGTCAATCGAAGAAGGTGGTGTGGCAAAGTCTTTAACTTCGGGCATGTCTGAATGTCTAAGGAATGAAGACGTGGCATGACGGCAACATCTACTTCTGCTCCTCTTGTAGATGAAATTTCACAACTAATCCAGTCTTTCCACTCTCGCATGTTTGTGAAACGAAGAGAGGTCAAATTGGGGAAGGCAATCATAGATGAAGAAGACGCAGGAGAAGGTGTAGGAGAGGATGTTTGCCCCTCTTCTCTTGTTACTCCCAAAAATTCAACTCCCACTGTCTTCACTCTTTCCATGTTTAACATTTCAAGTGATTCTAAGGAGGGCAGTTTTCCCAAGGGAGGCAAATACTCCCAGTTTCTGCAATTACTAAGTGTAATACGCCTCAGCTGGGCCAATGTTGTTGACTGCAGCCAACTAGGGAACACGAGGGGCCCATTGAAGCACCGTATCTCTAATCTTTCTATGCAAGGAGGTGGTTGTAAGGCTTCAAGAATAATGTCTTCACCACCAATTCTGCCAGTACTGATATCAAAATTTAGTGTTAAACCAACGAGGTCTTTCTTATTACGAAGTTTTGCTTTCCTAGCCTCAGTCAAATCTGTTGCATTTCCTAATCCTCTTATCTTCAGATCCCCTTGAAGGCAACTCAAGTTCTCCAAATCACCAATGGTAAATGTTCTAGAGTCATTGCAGACATCGGCCACAACTAACTCCTTTAACGTCCGAAGGCACGTTAATCTTTCCATTCCTTTAGGCATGACTCTCAATCTAAAAGTCTCCCAATTATCAAGGTGCCTCAAATTCTGAAGCTTTCCAATTCCAGAAGGCAGTGTTCTAAGACTTCTACACCTTGTGAGGTCTAGCGTTTGTAGATTATATAAATCACACAAAGTTTCAGGCAATTCTCGCAAATCATGGTTATTACTAAGCTTCAGGTACCGCAAGCGTACTAATTTTCCAATCTCTTTTGGTATTTCTTTAATCAAACACCAACTCAAATCCAAACTCCTTAAACATATCAATTCATCAAATAACTTAGGCAAAGCTCCCCCAATTGAACTATTTTTATTATATGACTTGATTAAGAGGCTACGCAATTTTTGAAAATTATAAATGAAGGGAGGAAATGAACACCCCTTCTCAAGCACCACAACCAGATGACGACCTTTTTCAGTGCAAGACTCTATCTTGGGATCATTTGCAACAGTCACTTCCAGCATAGAACACTCATTTTTTGTCAAAAATCTTGCGAAATCATGCACTATATCATGCATTTTGCATTTCAGTATGCGACTGTTATTTTCATTTTTTTGAAAATCCTGAAAGAAAGAGCGCATAGCTAAGTCATCAAAGCATTCCTGGCCGATGGTCTCCACCTGTTTATTTTTCGTTCCCTTAAAGAAACCTTGCGCCATCCACAATTTGATCAACTTGTCTTTCTCTATCACAGAATCTTTTAAAAAGATGGCACAATATGAAAAGCATTGTTTCAAAGTTGACGATAAATCATAATAGCTCAATAGTAAGGGAGGGAAAATACCCTTTTCAGCTTCTTCAAGTTCCCATAGTTCACTGTCCAACACACTCTGCCACTGTTCTTTGGATTTTTTGAAGCGTAAGAGTCCACCAAGAACCTTTGCAGCAAGCGGCAAACCCTTGCATTTGTTTGCTATCTTCCTACCAATGTCCTCCAAACCCTTGCAATCCTCGCTACTCCTTCCAAAAAATGCGACCTGACTGAACAGCAACCAACATTCCTCCTCAGACAATTGGCTTAACGGGAACAAGGTAGTGCTACCCATGATATTTGCAACATTCTCCTTGCGTGTGGTGATCAAAATTTTGCTTCCTGGTGATCCACACTTGAGAGAGTGTTTCAATGATTCCCACTTTGTGCAATCTTCAGTCCACACATCGTCCAAAACAAGAAGAAATTTCTTTCTCTCAATTGAGTGATGTATTTTCTGCAATAAAGTCTCCAATTCAATAACATTGGGAGCAACCTCGGTTAAAGCTTCAAGAATCGCTTTGGCAATTCTAATCTCATCAAAAGGATCTGAGACACACACCCATATTCTTTTATCAAAATAGGCTTTCACCTGCTGATCATTGTAGGCTAGTTGGGCAAGAGTTGTTTTTCCAATACCTCCCATTCCAACCACAGAGATGATATGGAGGCCTCTTTTTTCTTGACTATTCTCGGACAGCAACTTATTAAGTATAATATGATTATCTTGGTCTCTACCACAAATCTCGGATACATCAATAAAAGAGGTAGTGATTGGTCGCTGGACTTCTTCATTGGCCCTAATCAAATCAAAACTGAACGTATCTTTTTCTCTGCCAATCACTTGGAGTCTTTTGTTTAGATCTTTTACCTTGACAGCAAAATCCCGATGCAGAACAATTTTACTGAAAGAGAAGCATGGGGAGGCAACACAGGAGCATACCTTCTTCTTTGCAATTTGCGATGTGAGAATAAAAGCGTTCCACTCATCTATCAAATCGTCCATGTCATAAGATGTGGCTTTAAGCTTGTCCAACCAGAGTTTGACAGCTTCCTCCTTCACTTGCCTTTTCTCAGCATCTATCAGCACTGCTTGAATAGTTTGGAGGGTGCTCTTGAGCTTCTGAGCTTCTTTCCTGACATCCACAACAAGTGTCACCTCTTGTTCAATTTCTTGATAAACAACAGCTGTTAGCTGCTGCAAGACTGCTGAAACAAGTGCATCAGCCATGCTTCGATCAGAGTTCAGAACTAGACAGATTCAGATGGAGGAGCAGTGACAGAAAAATTGATTCTCAAGGCTTTCAACTTGGTGCTGTCGTTCTTTCTAAATTCCAACCACCAACGACGTGTTATCCAGGTCAAGGGTACCTACTCCCGCTCTGAAGTTGAAAAGAACAAAGTATTTAGTACATTTTAGGCAAAAGCTTCTGAATCGAAATGTACCAAAAGAACAAACGTGAAGGAAGAGGCGAGCTTCGATGACGATGCAACTCAAAACGACCTGGGACTGGGTCAACTATCACGAAACTATCCAGTCCTTGCCTTCTTTTACTCGAGTGGTCCCTAACGCGTGATTATAGACCACATGTCCGCCGCACTTTTCATGAGATTTCCCGGGCTTTGGTTGATTTATTTACTCCTTTTCCTGGAAGATAAGTTTCTTGCCTTGCTTCTCCCTCCTGCAGATGAGTGGCTAACATTTAAGAAAACTTGACTTATGTTACTTGTTTTTGTTCACAAATGTGGCTGTAATTAGTACTTTTTTGGCTTGGCCTAAGAGCTAGTCACACTTCATGCATATTTACCTACCAAATTCTGGAGATATTGTTGGATGTGTACAGAGGCGGAGCCTCCTTATAGTATGAACCCCCAAATTTTAAATTTTTTTTACATATTACATAAACTTTTTTAAATTCTTTTAATAATTTTTAAAATAATAATTAATACAAATAAAGAATAATAAAATAATTTTATATGCTTGACTCAGTTTTAAAGTTTTTTTAATTTTTTTTAAATTATATTATTATTGTTATTTATATTTATTTAATTTTATTTTATTTACTTATATGTTTTAAATCTTTATTGATCTTCTTTAACAAATTTTTATAAACCATCAATCATATTCTGTTTTTTCTTTTTTATTATGTCATATGTAAATTCTATCTTCTACTTGTCATATTTTTTTTCTATTATATGAATTTTATTTTTTATGATTTTAATATTTAAAAAATAAATAAATAATTATGTAATTTTTAAATAAGTTTTAGTATTGCACAATTACTTAAAATTTCATCAATATATTTTTTTTATTTAAGAATAACCAATATGTATGTTGCAAGCTTTAAGTAATAAACATATACATATAAATTGATAGAATGAAATAATTATATTTCTTTCAATACAATTTTGTTTATTCCATATATTTTTAATAGCTTTCAAAATAATTTTTCATTTAATAATTAATTTCAATACAATTTTATTTATTATATATGTTTTTAATGGCTTTCAAAATAATTTTTTATTTAATAGTTAGTTTTATTTTTTAAACTGTTTAATAAAATTAGAGTCATTATAATTAGCATATTACTAGTTAAGCTCAACAAATAAATTCTAAATTAATATGTTATGCCTATCAATTTTTTAAAAAAAATAAAAATGAGCCTGCTAATCCAAACCCATTAAATTTTAAAAACCTATCATAACATATTATATTTTAACAGTCTAACCTAATAACCTGTCATAATATATTATATTTCAATAGTTTAATTCAATTACCTAATATGTTAATTAATAATTTAAGAGATAAATAGAAAATAAAAGGAGAGCTAGAATATACAAAGTAAAGAAACATTTTATTTGAGTTTAAAAAATTATTTTCTTTTCCACTCTTATGTGAAAAAAGCGCGAAAAATTTTTTTTATAGTTCTATTCAGTCATATATATAAATGATGCTATTATTATTATTAATATGTATTTTTTTATATGCTTAATATCTTTTGAATTTTATTTAATTTTTTATATTAATGATAATTAAATTATGTATAATTTTTTTTAATCATTTAACGTCTCTTTTTGCTTCGCCCCTTTTTAAAAAATGCTCTAACTCTACTCCTAGATGTGTAGGCTACTAGTATATGCTTGAGAAATGCCGTGCAATAAAAGATATACAACGTTATTTTTTTGTTATTAAGATCATCATTGATTGTTTAATATAAAATTATTCTATCTAATAGGTGGAAGATAACTATATCTTTAAGCTTTTGATGTTGGAATCTAGAAGTTACAACACTTTGTGGATTAAATCTTTTTTTGACCAAATTTAAGTTGTTACAAACTTTAAGCTATCAAGCCTCAAAAGGTGATTAGGGTTTGCTTTCCTCACCTTAAGAGAACTTCATCTTCATTGGTCTTAAAGATAATGGTTGGTGTATAGATTGAAATTGAGGGTCCGTTTGCTAATCGAAAAGTGAGAGAAATTTTTTTTTTGTTTAAAATATTTTATAGAAAAATTTAATGTTTTCTATTATTTGAATAAACTGTTGAAAACATTTTATGTTATTTGGATTATTTTATGAAAAATATTTTTCATCATGATGGAGTTATTTAGGTAGTAAAATACTAAATAGGAGTTGATTACAAAACAATATTGATATTTGATTTTCATTAATTTGGAATCAAAATTAAGAATGGAAATAAAAATGGACAAAATCAATAATGATATTTCACAAAACATTTAATTATATATCTTTAATAAAAATAAACTATAATTTTCAAAAAAAAATTTCATCTTATCTCTTTTTTATCATAACTGTAAAAATATAAATATTCATCAATTGTATAAGATATTCAAAACTTATACTTATAAATATGTATTCTCAGTGAAATATTTTTTATTATAATTATTAGTAAGATTTAAACTTATTATAAGTGTGTATTTATCAAATGATGATCATTAAAATATTTTATTATAATTATTAGTAAGAATTATTCCATTTATAAATAAAAAATATAATTATATTGAATGATTTCATTAAAAAAATATTTTTTAATTTTAATTGTGTTGTATAATTTAAATATTAATATTTTAAATTAATTTTTTAGAAGTTAAATATTAATATTTATTAAACTTATATTCATAAATTTAGTATAAAATTGTTTTCCGTAATTAACTCTATTGACTCGTAAAATGTTTTAACACTTGAAATTAATTTTTTATCTTTAAAACAAGTATAAATTGTAAAAAACATTTCCCAAAAAATATTTTACGATAAAACAAACTGATATTGAATTAGTGTCATTTTGCATTCCAAGCAAGGAGTACCCGACCATCACTTCTCAGTAAACTGAAAATCCTTGAGGACCGTTGGTCTTCACACGTCCTTAATGTTATTGGTGCTAAGCATAACCCCTGGGAAAGAGTTGGATGTTCCATGCATGTCCAGGGAAAGGAGGTTCTCCATGAGGTGATAAACTATTCCACTGTACTTTTGAGTAGCAGCTTGCTATGAGATGATCAGTTAAAGAAGTAAATAAGCTTTATGCAAAAAGAAAAAGAAAGAAAAATTGAAGCTATAGGTTTGCACAGGTGTTTATATAGTTACTCCACAAATCACCCACCCAAGAAAGTTACTTCAGAAACAGATAATATTTCTAAACCTGCGTAACTGCTGCCTGAGTAGCAACTTCCTTTGAAAATCCTCAAAAGGTCAAGCTGACTGTAATTGAATCTCAAATGGTACTGAATGCAGCAGCTTGAATATTGCAACTATCTACCCGGAAAGGAATGCTTTATGTTATCTATAGTCAGTAGCACACAAAGAAAATAAGAGAATAGTTGGTTTCATGAGTTTGGCTTCTAGTAAATGGGCAGAAGCAATAAATGTCATAAATTTTAGAAAGGACAGCTCTCAGAAGTACCATGCACGGAAAGAATTATATCAATATGGTACGCCAAAGATAAGTAATCAAAATCACCTTGAGATATGACGTTTAATACAATGATTGTTCTTTCCAAGGCAAGAGTACCAAGATCTGGAGTTATTTGCAAGATTGCAGTGACTTCAGATATAGAGTTTTTCCTTCATAACTTATTTGACAGTCCCCTGCTTCATCAGTCAATCACAAGTCTAAGGCCAATGCTTGGGGCATTTCTCTTGGACTTGTGCTTGACAATTATTGAAAGCCCATTAATCAGCAGCATAGCCAAATGAAAGAAATGTACAAAAATTGAGGAAATTACAGAGCATAGGTACACATCTGGTCCTTTGTTGTTGAAAAGCACCACCTTGAAGAAAAGAAGAAAGCCGGTGCTACAACTGAGATCAAAGAAGTTCATAAGATGGAGCCTGCGAAGGCTGAGATGATAGATAAGATATCTGCTCTTCAGATAATATTGATCGGTATTTCCTCTCAATGGATCAAGTAGTTTCAAGCACAATATCTGAGAAGTGAACACACATCAAGATACAGTTCTTTTCCTTTTTTGGCGGTGACAACCCATATTTCTGAGTTTTCCTCATCATGAAACACTTCAGTCATAGAGACACAGAGAAATGGATGCCTTGAAATCCAATGCAGGTCCCTATAACAACAAGTGCGCATAGTTAAAAAACAAGGCTTCAAAACTCAAATGCTTTAAAAATTGAAACTGGTTTATCCATTTCTGGTGTCTTCATCAGGTACCTAAAAGTGTTGCTTGGCAAAAACAAAGGTACCTAAAAGTGTTGTGATGCCTGAAAAGCTTTCTCTTCATATAACTTGAAATCATTTGGTAAAGCGAAATGTTATCCATATAACAAAATGCGAGCTATTCAATTTAGAGACTTTCATTAAAATAAAGCTGTTGAACATGGCATTTGGTTGGCATTTTCTCATTTTCTGTCAACATCCATACTTTCTTTTACAACGTTCACGTCTAATATAGTAATATATGACCATCCAAGATTTCAATTTGTAGCAACCTCCCCTGTTAAAATAGACGAGAAAAAGAAACAAAAAAAAGTATAAGAATGAAGAAAGGACGATTTCTGGAAATAAAGGAGTATGTAAGACTATGATTGATTGCAGGTTAACATGGAGAAACGAAATTAATCTAAAAGAGATTATAGCAGATTTTGTATTAAATCATCAGCCATGATCTAAATGAGGATAAGTACAGCAAGTTTAGACACAGATGTGTCTGAATGTATTGTAAGTTTGAGCAATGATAACAATCACTAAATAAAAAGCGAAATACCTGAGCATAGATTGCATCTGCGAAACGTATGATCCACAGCATAAGAAATCCTAGCCTAGAACCAATTCATCATCAATTTGGATGGTAGGGATGTGGGAGATGGAAGGCCAATCCTCCCCTCTTCCCTTTTCAAAACGTGCCCCAAGAACAGGGCAACCTCTAATATGCAATTCTCGCAGCGTTGTATTATGAAGCAGGTGGCTAGGCAACGCCTTCAACTTTAGACAATAGTTTATTGTTAATGAATGGAGATGAGGCATAATTACTTCGCTTGTGCTTGTCAACAGATTCCCATATTCCCACTCTTCCCACTCTTTCATGTAATAAAATTTGAGACTTTTTAATACGGGGAAGGCAATATTATTATTAGTAGATGATGAAGAAGATGTTTGTCCCTGTCCTGTTTCTACTCCCAAAATTTCGTCTCCCACTTTTTTCACTTTATTCAAAAACTCTATCTCTAGAGATTCAAGGGACTGCAACTTCCCCATGGGAGGCAAGCTTTCCCAGTTGAGGCAATTCTGTAATTGAACCTTCTTCAGCATTGACAATGAAGTCATCCAATTAGGGAAAGCAACAGGACCTCTACAGTTGAGTATACCCAAACTTTCCAGGTGTGGAGGTGGTTGCAAGGCTTCAAATACAACATTTTCATCCTCAATGTTGATCCGTTGCATCTCTTGGGAATCAAATTTTAGACGCAACACGCGGAGGCCACTCTTTGTCCGAAGCCGAGCTTTCTTTGCCTCCCTTGGTTCTGCCACATTTCCCAATCCTCTTATCTCAAGCTCCCCTCGAAGATGGGTGAAGTTTCCCAAATCTCCAAGGCTTCATGATTTATTCTCAACATCACTGCGGCTCACAACAAACTCTTCTAATGTCCGTAGAGATGTCAGTCTTTGCATTCCTTTTGGTATGAATCTACATCTATCTGTACCTAAATTTTGAAGATGCCTCAAGTTGATTAGCTGTCCAATTCTACGGGGCAATTTGATAAGCTTTTTACACGATTTGATGTTCAGAGTTTGCAAGTTGCACAAATCACACACCGTCTCAGGCAATTTTTCCAACTCACTACTACCCTCTAAGTTGAGATATCTCAAATGCATCAATTTTCCTATTTCCTTTGGAATTGCTTTAATTGAAGTTTTGAATCCAAAGTTCATGTCTTTAAAGCTTAGTATCCTCAGACAAGTCAACTGATCCAACAATTTAGCCATTGATGCACTAACAGCTGTACTATCGTTGAAGTTAAGATGGAGGCTGCGCAACTTCTTTACATTAAAAATGGGTTTGGGAATTGCAACAGGTTCATCATGAATTAGGGTTAGATGACGGACATTTTCCTGGTAAGACTCTATATCTAACTCTTCAATATTGTTACTTGCTACCAGAAAGCTTTTATTTCTTCTCAAATATTGAGCAAAATCATGCACTATATCATGCATTTTGCAGCTGATTATGCTATCGTCATGTTCATCCTTCACAAACTCTTGAAAGAAAGAATGTATTACTAAGTTATCAAAGTACTCTTCACCAATGGTCTCCACATCTTTATGTTGCGTCTCTCCAAGCAAGCCTTGAGCCATCCATGACTTGATCAAGAAATCTTTCTCTATTCTATAATCTTTTGGAAAAATGGAACAGTATGAGAAGCATTGCCTTAATGGCGATGGCAAATCACAATAGCTTAACAGTAAGGGAGAAAAAAGCCCATTTTCAGCCTCCTCAAGTTCCCATATGCGACTGCTCAACATTCTTTGCCATTGCTCTCTAGATCTCTTAAAACGTAAGAGACCTCCTAGAGTTTTGGCTGCAAGTGGCAAACCCTGACACTTTTGCGCAATTTTCATACCAATGTCTTCTAAACTCTCACGCTCTTTGTCATTCCTTCCAAAAAATGCTAAGTGACTAAATAATGACCAAGATTCTTCTTTGGATAACTTCCCCAAACGAAATAATTTGCTGCAACCCATGATAGCAGCTACATTCTCCTTACGTGTGGTCATCAAGATTTTGCTTTCTTGGGAACCATAGTTTAGAGAGTATTTCAATGATTGCCACTTCCTCTCATCTTCACTCCACAGATCATCTAAGACGAGAAGGAACCTCTCTCCCTTAATAGATTCATGGATTTGCTCTAGTAAAGTGTTTAGCTCTATGAAATTTGACACAACTCCTGTTAGAGCTTCAAGAATAGCTTTTGCAGTCCTCATCTCATCAAAAGGGTTAGAAACACAAACCCATATTCTCTTATCAAAATAAGCCTTCACCTTATGATCGTTGTAAGCTATTTGGGCTAAAGTTGTTTTCCCAATTCCTCCCATCCCCACTATGGATATTACAGGGATGCCCCTTTCTTCATGGTTGTTCTTGCTGAGCAACATGCTTACTAGGACATTTTTATCACGGTCACGACCACGTATGTCAGATACATCAATAAAGGATGTTGTTATTGGTCGTTCTCGTTCAGGTTCTAAATCATGTCTCCTACTTTGATCAACTGTGAAAGCATAATCGTCTTTCTCTTTGGCAATGACCTGAAGCCTTTCATTTAGTTTTTTAATCTTAACAGCAATGTCATAACGGTGAATGGCTCGGGTAATACAAGACATTGGAGAGTGAATCCAAGAGCGTACCTTGCTTAGAAGGATGGAAGTTGAAGAGCTTTGATCTCTCGCGATTTTCATTTTCAGAATTGCAATTTCCCACTCACCCAACACATCCTCAATGTCATAAGACACGTTCTGAAACTTATCCAGCCAAACTTTGACAGCTTGCTCCTTCAGTTGTCTTTTCTCTGCATCTACGAGGACAGCTCGAATAGTCTGAAGAGTGCTGCTGAGCCTTTTGACTTCTTCTTCCTTAATACCTTCAAAAAGTCTCACCCCATACTCAGCTTCTCGGAGAAGAATCGCAGTTAATTGTTGTGAAACTGCAGAAACAAGTGCATCAACCATGGTAGGAGGGTAGATACTTGAGATCAAGAAGGAATAAAAGAGATGGTTAGTTTGGACTTTAGAGAACTTAGATTGGTTCTGAAGACTTGGGCAATTGCGTAGGTAACTAAGTGACATCAAAATATTATCGGAATGAAATGGCGTTGTAGGTTCAGCGCAATTGCTTGAGATGTCTAGAAAGAGGAATGGCAATGGTTTGACCGAAAGGATAATGAAAAAATTTCGGGGCATTGCTTACGTTCTGCTCTGCCCTGATGGCAATGGAGCGGGCTCCGGCCCCACCTGGACAACCAAGCTGCCACGATGTCAATCTTTGTTCCGCTCCCCACCTCCAATATATTTTCGTAACATTCATTTCTGTCTCATCTTGTCTGTAATTATTTTTTTCCATAAAAATTATTTTGATCAAATTATTAACAAAAAAGGTATTTAAGATTTTTTAATCATACATGTACTTAATCCTATTTTAATATTAATAACTACATTTTCTTTAAAGTACGTAGGCCAATTGTTGAACAGCCCCTCCTCCACTTTTATACCCCTAAACCCTCCTCTTATTAAAGTAAATTTTCTTATTAAATCAAATATTAATTAATTTTTATCTGTCAATTATGTTATTAACCTTGAACTCTTTATTAAAGTGAATTACTCTTAATATTAGCAATATAAAAAAATAAATACATATTTTATCGTATTAAAATACTTAAATAATAAAAAATCTTCTTATCTCTACGTTTTATCCTTATTATTTGTCCCTCCTGATATATATAGCAAAGATTTATTAGTTTTAATTTTAAATATTGTACTTATGAATAAGTTGAACTGCCTTCTAAATTGTTAGATCTCATCCTTAAATTTTCCAATGAAATTTTACCACATCAAGAGAGACAAAAGTGTAGGGACCAAATAGTGTTACTCATAAACAATTATGAGATTTACATGAATGATGAGTTTCAATTAATTCTTCATTCAGCAAAAGATATGTATATATATATTAATTGTAAATATAGAGAAGTTTTTCTTAATTGATGGATGGCCTTTTCAGTTGCATAAAGCCTGAAAAGCAACTATGATATGAGATGGGCTTCAAGCATGATATATAGTCAGATGGACATAGATTTGAATTAATCAGTTGGCACAATCCTCAAGTACATGATCTTGGATTTGTCTAAAGAAATCGTTAAGACGTTTAATCCTGTAACTTTCCAGAAACAAATTCTGAAATCATTCAATAACAAATATATTCAAATGTGAAGACAAAAATATGTTATTGCTTCCTTTGTGCAACAATTTTCTTCCCAAAAGTTAAAACCAAAGAAAGAAAAAGGAAAAAAAAAAAAACTTTGTAGTACTTCAAGACCTTCCAATCTATGCAAGTTGATGCCATGGTTTTTGAATGGAGCATAAAAAGCCACATCCTAACAGAGTGGAGATGGTCAAGAAGCTCCTAGAATTTTGTCATCATATTTGCTCTCTAGCATAGGAACTCTCAACTTCGCCCCAGGAAGACACATAATGATGAATGAAATATATATGCAGCCCCAAGAAAGGAAGCATCCTGCATTCCAAGCAAGGAAGTACTCAGCCATTACTTCTTGGTGAAACTCAAAATGCTTAAGGCCAATTGGTGCTTCCATGTCTTTCATTCTACAGGTGCCAATCATATCCCCCGGTTCAGGGAAAAAAGGGTTTCTCAGGAAATCATGCATGGCACCTCTGGACAGCAGCTTCCTAGTGATTATCTGTTAAGTAAATTAGCTTTATGTCAAAAAAGGAAACATCATTGCACTGGTGCTTCACATCTAATTGGCTACATTGTAATGTTTCATTTACTCTACACATTATTTCTACACATTATTGAAATACCAACAACATGGCTCCTAAAAAACAGATTATATTTCTACCTGCTCAATCTGCTGCCTGAGTTGCATGGCACTTCTTTCGAAAATCCTCAAAGTCAAAGGTCATGCTGATTTCTAATTGAATCTCAAAGGGTACTAAATACAGCAACTTGCAACTATCACTACCTGAAAATGAAATGCTTTCTGTTATGTACGCTCAAAAGCATTGTCAAAACTGCAAGGGCATGTTTCATTGGTTTCATGAGGTTGGCATTCTAGTAAATAGGGTGAAGCAAGATAAATCTTACTAATATTTTAGAGGACAAGTCTTAGAAGTATCTTGAGTAGAAAGCATTACTTAGACATAAAGATTTATATCATTAAAGTGGCCCAAAGATAAGCAATCCAAATGACCTTAAGTCATCAGTCCATCACTATGATTGTTCTCTCCATTGCCAGAGAACCAAGATCTCTTGCAGGCTAGGTGCAGTGACTTCTGATATAAAATTTTATTGGACAATCCCTGCTTCATCAATCAACACACTTTTAAGGCCAGTGCTTGTAGCATATCTATCTTGGATTTTGTGCTTGTATCATGGACAGCCCGTTGGTCAACAGCAGAGCCATAAGAAAGAAATTTGTAAAAAATGAGAAAATTCTAAAGCTTGTGTACAGGTCTAGTCTTTTGTTGTTAAATGGAATTAAGAAAGGACAGAAAACTGGTGATTGAGAATAAGAAGTTCATACGAGTGGACCTATGAAGGATGACATGATGAGATATCTCCTCTTCAGCTTATGCTTTCTGCATTTCCTCTCAAGCACAGTTTCTGGAAAGAGAATACACAGCATGCTACAATATTCTTCTTTCTTGGCAGTGATGAACCACATATCTGGGTTTTCCTCGCCATGAAACACTTTATCACAGAGGAAGATAAACCAAAATCCCATGCATAAGCTCCCTAGGGCAAATAGTTAGAAAACCTGGCTCCAGTGCTCAAATGCTTAGAACCCAAATTGATTAATCTACTTTGCATGTTACGTTCTATGCATTAACTTAAGGTATCTGAAAGCGTAGATCTTCTTATGAATGAATGGAGTTCTCTAACTCTTTATATACCTTCAAACCAAATGTAAAGCAAAATGTTGTATAAATAACAAAACAGGAGCAATCCACCTATGATGACGATTTCAAAGAAATGAAAGCTGCTAAACATGGCCTTTGATAGTCATTTTCAGCCTAGAAAAAGAAATCAACTTCTGTAATTTTTTTTTTTTTAAAAATCTAGAGTCTAATATATGATTATTCAATTCAATTTGTAGGAATTGGAAAATCTTCTTTCCCTGTTAAAATAGAGGGGATAAGAAAAGGGAGGATTTTCAAATTAAAGGAGTTAATCAGGAAGACTATATTGCAGAGGTTAACAATAACAACGGAACGGATTCAAAGGAAATTGTTGCAGATTTTATGTTAAATCCCAACCCACAATCAGAATGAGAAAAAGGTATACCAATTGAGAAAGGGATTTAGGCAAAATATAATGCTAATATAGTTGGATATACTATAAATTGGGTTGATATTAGAATTCATTTTACTTTCTGTAATATTCCTTTTGGAAATTAGGAGTCAAATTGTTAAATAAGGAAAATAAGAACTCCATCTTCTAAGAATAAGAACATGTATACACCTCTTCTTCCTTCTAGATGTAAGCCAGGCTTTTCCTTCCTATATATTAAACACCTTCAGCCACAAAGGGGAATTGCGTGCCATTCAAATCCAATTATAACATACAATTAGCTAGGTGCGGTTTCAAATGCTTGAAAATTTGCATGGACTATTACAGAGAGCAAAATGGATCACTTATCTAGTCTACTTACCATGCATCACCAGGTGCGCCAACAATGGCTAAAGAACAGGTGTTCGAGTATGATTACGGCTTCCCTTGGAAGGAATTTCATGGCTGATTACTGCAAAGCACAAAGTAAAAAAAATACTTTTTCAGAAAGCAGCTTGGAATGGTGGACGACAGAAGGCAAAATAGTTCATGATATAATATAGTTGCAGTACATTGCTTAGTTGCTTGTAGCACACAATTATTTAACGCCAATTTTCTGAGATATAGGTGATTCAACATCAAAGAATATGATCTTTACTTTGGGTTTCGAACTTTTTGTTCTTACTCCTCCCATAAATTTTTTGCAACATCAGAGGGCTTAGCAGGGCTGATCTTCATGTCCTTTACCAAATAAGATTTCCGAGAAAATAAGCCTGAAATTGAAATTCACCCAAAGTCAAAAGTTAGTAAAATGCTAGTGTTCAAGATTATTAATTATCCAATAACAGCTACTTCAAAATAGTTTTCAGTTAGCTCATTGACTTCAAAAAGGCAGTATCACTTTATTCATATAGTACCTTTATGGGAAATGAGGAATGCAAGGGAGCTGTCTTTTACAAACATCAAAAGGATAGCCACAGGCCACAGAAAACGACCTTCTTTTGGTCCTTAAATAGCACAACTAAGTCTTAACTAAGTTAATAAGAGACAGATAAAAAAAGTACAATGTTTTCAAATGAGAAATCTAAATGTGAAACTACATAATTGTTGGACAAGTGGCATGCATAACTTTTATGTTTAGAATGTTGAAATATTACTATTTTGAAGAAATGCGCATTATTGGAAAATGTGAAATGGACTTTTAACTCATTTCAAAAAATTAAAAAAGAACAAAACATGAATGAAAATTAATAAAATTTGTTGCAAAGCATGAAATATGGCCTTGTATATAATTGGTGACTATAATTAGGATTTGGGGAAACACTCTGAACAATGGATAATGGCTAATAGGAATTATCAATAGTAAACAACAAAGAAGAGTAACCATTTATACCAATGCTTTGAAGCCGAAAAGTGATCAATGCCCATCTCTTTTCACGTCTTCACCATTAATAGTGATGGTTGGAATGTGAGAGATATAGGGCCAGCCATCCCCTGTCCCATTTCTTAAACATCGTTCCCCTAGAATAGGGCAATCAAAGATCTCCAATACTTGCAGGGTCCTTTTCTGGAGAAGATGGCACGGCAGCGACTTCAACTTGAGGCAACTATTGATATTCAAGGAACGAAGACATGGCATGATTGTAGTACAGCAAGAGCCATCATGTCCTATGCTTGTGGATAGGTTCCCATATTCCCACTCTTCCCACTCTTCCATAAATTGAAACTTGAGATGCTTCAAATTAGGGAAGGCAATATTGTTGTTATTACTAGATGATGAAGAAGATGATGTTTGTCCATCTTCTCTTTCTAATCCCATAAATTCTTCACCCACTCTTTTCACTTTCTTCATTTCCCATATCTCCAGATGTTCAAGGAATGGTAACTTTCCCATGGGAGGCAAAGTTTTCCAATTGAAACAAGCCCATAGTATAACCCTCTTAAGCATAGTCAATGACGCCATCCAGCTGGGGTATACAGTTGGACCATTCATGCGATTTATGTTCAAAGATTCCAGATACGAAGGTGGTTGTAAGGCTTCAAGAACAGATGCTTCATCCGTAATTCTCTTATCAAGAACAGATGCTTCATCCGTAATTCTCTTAGTTTTGGCATTGGAATTAAACGATAGAGTCAAATTACGGAGGCCAGTCTTATTCTGAAGTATCGCATGCTCTGCCTCATTCCCTGTTCTCTCATTTTCCAATCCTATTATCTTAAGATTCCCTTGAAGATTACGGACGCCAGTCTCATTCCGAAGTCCTGCATCCCCTGCCTTATTCCCTGTTCTCACATTTCCCAATCCTATTATCTTAAGATTCCCTCGAAGATGAGCCAAGCTTCCCAAATCACTAATGTTGCATCTACCCTTGATTCTCAAAGCATCAAAGCTATAGACAACAAACTCTTCTAATGTCTGTAGACATGTTAAACTTCGCATTCCAGGTGGCATGGAGTTGCATCCATATGTTCCTGCATTTTGAAGATGTCTCAAGTTGACTAGCCTTTCAATTCCAATAGGCAATTCTTTAAGACTTGAGCACAGCCTGATGTTTAGAGTTTGTAAGTTAGGTAACTCACACAGTGTCTCAGGCAATCGTTCCAATCCTTTATTTCCCTCCAAATTTAAATATCTCAAATGTATCAAACATCCTATTGCTCGTGGAAGTCCTTTAATTGCACTTTGCTGTCGAAATCTCTTGCTACTCAAGTCTAGCATTCTTAAACAAGTCAACTGATCAAATAATCTCGGCACAGATATCTTTAAATTTGATAAATCAAAATGACTCAAGTCAACTCGGAGGCTACGTAACTTTTTGAGATTATAAATGGGATTTGGAATTGCAACATGTTCATCATCAAGAATGAATGTTAAATGACGAGCATTTTCATAATAACAGTCAACTATTTGCTCTTCAATACCGTTGCTTGCTACTAGAAAACATTCAGCTTTTCTCAAAAGTTGAGCAAATTCATGCACTATATCATGCATTTTGCATCGAATTATGCTATCATCATCTTCATCTTTTTCAAACTCTTGAAAGAAAGAACGCATTGCTAAGTTATCAAAGTACTCTTCACCAACAGTCTCCATCTTAGTTCCTTGCATTTCTCCAAGAAAACCTTGAGCCATCCATAACTTGATCAACAAATCCTTCTCTATCTTATGATCTTTCGGAAAAATGGCACAGTATGAGAAGCATTGCCTTAATGGCGATGGCAAATCATAATAGCTTAATAGTAATGGAGAAAAAAGACCTTTTTCAGCCTCATCAAGCTCCCACATATGACTATCCAAGATTCTTTGCCATTGTTCTCTAGATCTCTTGAAACGTAAGAGACCTCCCAGAGTTTTTGCTGCAAGTGGCAAGCCCTGACACTTATCTGCAATTTTCTTACCAATATCTTCCAAACTGTCACGCTCTCTGCCATTCCTTCCAAAAAATGCTATGTGACTAAATAAAGACCAACAATCTTCTTTGGATAACTTCCCCAACTGGAATAATTTGGTGCAACCCATGATAGTAGCAACATTCTCCTTACGTGTGGTGACCAAGATTTTGCTTCCTTGGGAACCACCGTTAAGACAGTATTTCAACGACTGCCACTTCCTCTCATCCTCAGTCCACACATCATCTAGGACAAGAAGGAACCTTTTTCCCACAATAGATTCGTGGATTTTCTCTAGTACAGTACTCAACTCACTAAAACTCGAGGCAACACCCGTTAGAGTTTCAAGAATTGCTTTTGCAATCCTCATCTCATCAAAAGGATCTGAAACACACACCCATATTTTCTTTTGAAAATAGGCGTTCAGGTCTTGATGGTTGTAAACTATTTGGGCTAAAGTTGTTTTCCCTATGCCTCCCATCCCCACAATAGAGATTATAGGGATTCCCCTTTTTGCATGGTTATTTTCACCTAGCAACATGCTCATAATGGTGTTTCGATCTTGGTCTCGACCACATATTTCAGATTCATCAATAAAGTATGTGGTTTTTGGTCGTTCAGGTCCTAGATCGTTATTCGTATTTAGATTAACTATGAAAGCGTAATCATCTTTCTCCTTGGCAATGGCTTGAAGCCTCTCATTTAGCTCTTTGATCCTGACAGCAATATCACGACGTTGAACAAGTCGTGGAATAGAAACGCCTGAGGGCTGAATCCAAGAGCATACCTGACTCAGAGGAGTTGAAGTTGAAGGGCTTCCATTATATCCCTCGATTTGCGATCTGAGAATTGCAGTGTTCCACTCATCCAACACGTCTTCAATGTCGTAAGATACGTTTCTAAGCTTATCAAGCCAAACTTTAACAGCTTCCTCCTTCACTTGTCTTTTCTCTGCATCTACAAGGACAGCTCGGATGGTCCGAAAAGCGCTGCTGAGATTCTTGACTTCTTCGTTTACACCAACAACAAGTCTTACCCCGTTTCCAGCTACTTGAAGGCCGATTGATGTTAGTTGTTCTAAGACTCCAGAAACAAGCGCGTCGGCCATGGTAGGAGAGCAAATACTTGAGAATTGACGGGATAGAGAGAGGAGATATCTAGGGATAATTGCCAGACTAGAGAGCTTCAATTTTTCGTTTGACTTCAGCTAAGCTTAACTTCTGGTTCGTACGTAAATTATTATTGAATTTGAGGCTAAAATGTCATTGTCCCTAGCAGTGGAGGACAGATCATCTTGTTGCTTTTCGGAGATCACGAAATTGCATCCAAATTACACAATACCTTGCCTTTTTTCTTCGCCCAATTAAATTCCTCCAACAATTAGCAATGGGCCGGTGCACAGTTCTCTCTACGTAAGGCAACAATACGAAATTGTCCACAGCTTACTTTTTTGGATGTTAAATTCATAATAATACTTAACCAAATATATGTACTCTGTGAGATCTTTGATTAAAAATTGTACTCTTATTTTTTAGTAAAATTGCCACTTGTTGCTTTTGTTTAATTCGAAAATTAGATCTTTATTATTTTAAATATTTTAAATAGTATTGTACTTAGCATTAACTTTTTATAGTGCCGCTTGCCGACAATTTTAGGTAACAAATTACTATATGCATTGCCGTTTTATCTTATTTAATACGCAATGAGTGTGCATCGACAATAATGAACATAGATTTGTGAAACTCATTCGGAATTTAGAATAACTTATTTTATTTAAATTTTAAAAATTCTTTAAATTTCATTATATATAGATGGTCAACTACAAATCATATGAAATTTATATTATTGTCACTTAACAATTCTCTTCCTTCAATCAATATTAAAAAAAAAACATAGTAAATCTTACATGTGCGATATATAACTTTTCCAGTAAACATATTAACTCAATCACATGGTATGAATTTCATTTAAATAACAAGCTCATAGAAGCCAATGACATCATTGAATTATATGTGGGAAAACTTTTTTAATGTATAAAGATTAGGATCTTTTATAATTTAACATGTGAAAATTTTATTTTATCATGACTTGCACCTGATAATTAATTAATTGTTAATGCATGTGCATCTAGATTTCTATTGAAAAACACCTTATTTTTCTTGTTTATAATTATTTGCACTTACATCTCCAAAACTTTGCAGGATAATACGAAACCAGAGATAGAGTCACATATAGACCAAGGGCAAGACCTCTGAAAAGATGACAAAGGGACTTTGCCCAAAAAAAAAATGAAAAAGAAACAAACAAACAAATGCCGACGCCTAAATGCAACGGTTGGCGAAGGCTAGGAGCCACCCAAAGACCAAAGACCTAAAATATCAAGACGTAATTTTAAGGTGACGGTTGGAACTGTATTTGTTTTCTTAGGCGCTGATCATAGTTGCACTACCTAGAATCCAAATTATTTACTTCAATTATCAGGACTTGGAGCATCTTTTACTTCTAGCTAGCTACCTCAAGTTTCCGAGTAATATCGTCTACCTGGACATACTCAACCATATAAACCCCTTTTTGTTCTCGTCCATGTTCCGTGTCTATATATCTATAATCTATAACTTAACTATATATAAAAGTATAGCTTTTGCTATTGGGGAGTGCAGTTACAAGAGAAACAGTGGAGGGTTGGTACGGTCGTTGGAGTCAACGAGGGACAGCGAACGTAGGAGGGGGAAGACAAGATGATATATAGGAAGAAACCTGCTTACTGTGGACGTGGACATCATCGGCCCGAGAATAACGAGGGCATCGTTGGAGGAAGTTTTTGAAAACTATGGGAAGGATGGACCTTTACACCGCCAACATAAATGCAGAACAGAGGAGGAGACAATCGTTCTTTGCCTTCGTTAGACGCCGAGATGAGGAAGAATTAAGGAGGGTAGTTCTCTAGGGGAATGAAAGACTGATTGATGGGGTGTTAAGAAGGCCTCTTTTAGCTGGAAAGAATGTAGAGTCAAAAGGAAGGAAACATACAGGGGCATCCCAATCATGAGGGGTGTTCGTATACCTAAAGATAATAAGAGAACATACAGAGAAGCTCTGATACAGGGTAAAGAGAAGGAGCCGATGGAGGAGAGCATATCAAGGGAGACGGAGGATGACACGGTAAAGGACAAGAAGGAGAAAGAGGAAGCAAAAACCAGAAATAGGGGTGATGATAAGGTTTGGGAGATCGAATACCGTGTCAATGAGATAGACTGGCTAAGCAGGAGTGCTATTGGATGCATCAGAGGTCCATTCTACTATAAGATAGTTCAATTGGTGTTATTTTACGAGGGTACCTCTGTACTAATTCAACCGATGGGAGGTTTATAGGTGCTACAGACATTTGGGGAAGACGACGAGATGAATGTCCTATTAAAGACATTCCCGAAGATATTCTTCTTGTGGTTCGAATTGTGTTAAATATATTTACATGCACATGTATATACAAATACATAATAATGAATAATAACAGAAGTAGAAACAAATAAATATAAGTAAATATCAACTATTATTTGATAATAGTGCACCTTTCTTCGTTGCAAATAAATTCACTAAATCAATAATTCAATAAGGATCACGACACTAACCTCCAACTATAACAAATGTCAAGCTTCTTCTTTCACAAGCTCACCTTTAGAGTTACTCAGTCTATTTCTAATGAGTTCTTCTAACCTAAATGGTAATTTTACAGTGATGGTAATACGATATTTGTTTTTTAAAAATTACCTTGGGTTGGGGACCCATACGTTTATTTTATAAGCAAAATCATTCCCATCAATGAGATACTATTATCTTAAAATTAGAGAATTTTAAGGATAATGGGAAATATTATAATTCCATTCAAATAATGAATAGTTATCACAATCTTATTAAAACCATATCACTTATCATGGAAATTAAAAGTTAGGATCATTAAAGATAATGTGATTTTTAATTTTAAAATTAAAAAATTCCAACATTCTTCCACTTGGTTCAAACATTTATTACACAATTATTTCTGCAACATGATAGGCTTATTCCCTATATACTTAAAGAAAAAAATGGAATTACATGAATCATGGCATTAAGTCCTTTTATAAATAAGTATTACCTTCCATGTATTACAATGCAATTTTTCCTTTTCTGAATAAACTTCATAACATTACTTTATGAATAAACCTCAAATGTTTATTTTTGGTCCTTATATATTGGTTGTTCTCAAACATTAATGTATACAATCATAAATGAGAAAACAAACAAAAAACAGAGTTTCATTACAGAGAAAAATGTGCTAAAATCTCAACTCAAATGGCAAGTGACAAATCGACAATTAATCCCATTTTCGCTACATGATCTTTGAACATTTTTTGTGGCATGCCTTTTGTCATAGGATCTACAATCATTAACTTTGTATGAATGTGTTCAATGAACGCTTCATTTGATTTAATGTGCTCTTTGATGGCTAAGTACTTAATGTCGATGTATTTACTTTGACTTTCATTCTTATTATTCTTAGCAAAGAACACAACAGCAAAATTGTTACAATATAACGTCAATGGCTTAGAGATTGATTCAACAACTCAAAACTTAGAGAAAAAACTCCTCAACCAAATACCTTGTGATGTAGCCTCAAAACAAGAAACAAACTCAACTTCCATAGTAGAAATAGCAACCAAAGATTGCTTTGCACTTCTCCAAGATATAGCTCTTCCAGCAAGGATGAAGATATATCTAGATGTTGACTTTCGAGAATCAACACAACCAACAAAGTCTGAATCCGAATATCCAACAACTTCCAAGATGTCGAATTGTCTATATGTAAGCATGAAATCTTTAGTCCCTTGAAGGTACCTCATGACCTTTTTTGAAACCTTCTAATGATCTAAGCTTGGATTACTTTAATATCTTCCCAACATTCCAACTGTAAATGCAATATTTGGTCTAGTACAGACTTAAGCATAAATCAAGCTTTGAATAGTTGAAGCATATGGAATGTTTTTCATTTGTTCCCTCTCAAGTTCATTCTTGGGGCATTAGTTCAAATTGAACTTGTCACCCTTCACAATAGGTGTCACACTAGGTGAACAATCTTTCATTCAAAATCTCTTTAAAACCTTATTGAGGCTTTTTGAGACAAACCTAAGATACCTTAAGATCTGTCTCTATGAATCTTGATGCCAATGACATAAGACACTTTGCCCATATATTTCATGTCAACATGTCAAGAGAGAAATTGTTTTATCTCATGTAGCAATCCCATATCATTGGTTGCAAGCAAAGTATCATCTACATATAAAACCAGAAAGATGATTTTACTCCCACTAACCTTATGGTATATACATTGATCCATAACATTCTCTACAAAACCAAATAAAGAGATAACGTTGTAGAACTTTAAATATCACTGACGAGAGGCTGTTTCAATCCATATATGGACTTTTTAAGTTTGCAAACCAAGTGTTCACCTTTATTTGAAATGAACCCTTCAGGTTGTTTCATATAAACCTCTTCCTCTAAATTTCCATTGAGGAATGCCGTTTTCACATCCATTTGATGTAAATCTAAGTCAAAATGAGCAACTAATGCCATGA